TTATGCTTATAAGTAATAATTATCCAATCTGAGAAATAAGAATTAAAACAGACAAGACTAAGAAAGAAAATTTTCTACTTCAATTTTGTATATTACAGATTTATTCAAATTTTTATAATATTGAATTTATTTTTAATCCAATGATAAAATACGATTGAATGTTTTATTTAGCCCGTAAACTCGGAAATTTATTAAAAATGAGATATTCGTTTTTTTTAAATAATGGAAACAATTTTCATATATTTTCCTTTTATGATGATTGATATAATTCACAGGTACTACATTTTATGTTGTGAAAAACTTCAGTACTCTTATAATTTCCTTTGCATGTCTCTAAAATAATGGACTTTTAATTTTCAATTTATTTTTAGACGTATTACAGTTTAAAATATTTCTCTATATAAATATTTCTATTTACTACATGTCTGAACTTTGCTTTATTATCGTAATTAAATGGTCTGTTCGATGTTGAATACAATTTGAAATTCCCGAGGAATATTATCTATACATGCAATTTTAAGAAATAATGAATATGTACAGCACAATGAAAATGCATATTCAAATTCCGGGAAATAAAATATACAATGACTTGTTAAATTATTGTGCATAAATTAATTCAAAGATGTAATATTTTAAATGTCCTAAGTATTGTGTTTAGTTCTGTACACCTGTTTAATTAACAGAGCGGAGTATAAATATTTATAAATAATAATATAAATATAAATAATTAATTAATTAAATTTGAATAACTATATAGACATTAATATCAATTTTATATGATAAGTTATTATTATTATGAAAACAAAAATATATCTATAACCCATAATAACTAACAGTACTTTAACATTATTTGAACATGTCACCATAATATATTATTTATGTACTTAAGTCATAAAAATGTATATATTTTAGGTGTTTATATAGATTCTGAGCATAGAAAGGGAAGTATTGGTTTTACAATGATGAATAAGTTTTTTTTTCTTCTCAGGGGAGACCTTTTTATAGCACTCGAAAAATTCTATACGGCACTTATAAAGATTGTGATTTTCTCAATTGTTTTTCTTTAAAATGATATTTTTCAAATTTCCTACTAATTTTCAGTTATTTTTAAGAAAATAATGAAAAAATAAAAAAATAAAACTGTTAACGTACTGTTATGAAGCATTATTTTAAATAAAATCTTTACCATTTTTGGCTTTACTTGGAAATCTTTTCGAATGACATGATAGTGTACCAAATATCTCAAACTTACAAGAACTCTCCCCGGTTACATATTCAATTTTTGTATCTTCTTATATAAATTTGTATATTTATTTACTGTTGCTAAAATGGTGTTTTGAATCAATGGATCTCATAGAATAAATTTTAAAAACGATTTACAATTTTTTTTGTGTCATAAACTTGTATAAATATTTTAAAGTGCGTCGTTTATAAGATTATAATACAATTTGACAAAGAAGAAACTAATGTCCTAGCAAAACAGAATTCCTATTTTACATAATATAAAAAAAAACTAGGTATTTACTATAATATTATGCTTTATCATATTTCTAGTCGAGTGCGTAAAGCAAATTCAATATTTAAAGTCGGTTATAGGTTATAACTTACTACGTTTGTGCTCTCATTTCAATTCATATATTTTATAGGCTATCGAAGTTAATAAATATATCTTTCTTTTAATTTTTTTAACTGATAGTTTATCAACTATCGTTGTTATCGACTGATAGGTCAGAAATCAAAAAATGTTTAAAATTGAATAATGTTATACAAAAGTAAAATGTATTAATAATTTATAAAATAACTGTGTCGTGTTCTATGTTCAAATTTAAATATGTTAGAGTTATAAGTGTATTTGGAGTGATTTTAAATAGCATTTTGTTTTTATGGTATATCTCCAGAAAATTAGCACATTGTAAAATATATGAATCTTATCATAATAAATATTATGTATTTACAACGCGATTGTGTCATTTCCTCACAATCATGATTATTCGTAACATAATATTATGTACTTCAATAGGTATTTAAAAAGCGATTGGAGATGTTTTTAAATTATAATATGATTATTATTAAATAAAGAAAGAAAGAATTCATTACATAATAGTAGAGAGTTAACATGTATAAAAAATAGAGCATTTGTTGACAAAATTATATTAAAAGTCGAACAGGATTTTATTTGTAAAAAGGCATTTAGAAAAATATGTTACCGTTGAAGTATCGTTACTGGACATATTAGATACAAACACACAACACTATAATACTAGGGTATATCGTATAGATAATTGTATAATACATTAACAACGTTATTTTTAATTATTTTCTACAATAAAATAAACCTCTAAGTTATATATAATATCACTGAGTAGATATATGTATATTATACAATATATACTCAATGAAAGTGTTATATACTTGAAATGTTTGTCTTATTTACAATTACTATAATACCACTATCAGAGAACGTGATATATGCAATGGTATGAAATCAAGTTTCAAAAAAAGATTTATTTATTATTATATAAAAAAAAATCGTCTTAAATTTTGTGATAATAATCGTTATTATTTGTTATTATTTCTACCATTTTATGCGAGGTATTCATAATTATTATAGTTACTTTAAAAAGGTTTTAATATGATAATAAACATCGTCGAGTAGCGTATTAATATGTATATAATAACAGACTATATTATTTTAGTATATAATAATTGTAATTTAAAGTATAACAGAGATATAATATTTTTACAACGCGCCTTCTAAACATTCTTACGTAAACAGCTCTTGATGTGAATACATTTTATTTCATAATTACAAGGAGCTGAATAACGCATATAAATATTCTCCATTTACATCGTTTTTGAACATATTGTTAAAATAACTAGGTACATCACAATATCCAATATTTTCACCATTAGTATTTTTTAAATTTATTGTGTCATATTTTACTTAGTAATTGCACGAACTGTGTAGTTTGTAGCTTTTTTTACTAAACATTTCACTCAAACAGTAAAAATTTAATCGTTAATGTCTCACCACATTCCAATTCATCATAGATTAATGAAAAATATGTTTACTATATAATAACTCATATGTTTATATAATACATATAATCCACAAAATGTATTTACATCTCAGAAATATTTTTATGTAATACATCACACAAGTATCCACTTTATACAGTAAAAATTAGAAAAAAAATCGAATTTACAAAAAACTTATTGACGGGGACAAACACGATACGTCGGTATGGGTTATCATTCTATACATATTATGTTCAATTGTATGCATATATTACGTAAAACTTCTTTTCAAATATTTGATGCGCAATGGTACACACAAACACACACACACACACACACACACACACACACACACACACACACACACACACACACACACACACACACACACATACACACATCCAAGAAAAGGGAAAAGACGTAGGAAGAAAAAAAATAAATTGGATCGGATAACGTATATTATATTTTGATATTTGAATATTGATGACATTTATCCAGTTTGATACCTTCACTTTTAATTGGAAGACTTACATAACTTTAAGCAAAATGTAATACGTTTTGTTGTGACAGTTCTCCGGATTTAAAATCTTGTTGTTGCATTGAGACGTAACTCTAATTGCATTCATTGTATTTTTTTCCTGTCTCTCAATGTGTTAAAAATAATTTTCAAAAATAAACTCTAGATTATACAATTTGTATTACTTATTTAAAGTTGTTTTGAAACGTTTAACAGCAGTATCAAGTTTTACTTGAATAGTAAATAAATGGAATTTTGAATACATAAAAATTCTACTTTGTGGTACAATGCATGCACGTGCAAACAATGATTTTGGGTAATCATCTTTAACAACCACCTCAACAATAGGGCAATTTCGTTTAAAACTATTAATTAGTTGTTTAGACATTTTGAATAGCATTATTTCGATAAAACTACGCCTCGATTATTCACAATATCATTATCATCTTGATAGTTTATGTTCTTACAACAATAACGTTTAACAAAATATAATGATAGTAGAAGATCGTAAAAATATTATATTTATGACGAATTCAGAATAATGTAGGTAATAATATTACAATAATTATATTGTAAAATCTGTCGAGCATACAACACGCGAATATGAGTAGCAATATTGCATAACCATGACGCCGTGTTACAATTGTAATGTAAACAAATTAATACATGTACGTGTACGTGAGCGATCCGTATATTAATATTATTTATATTATATTACAGATAGGACACTAACAAACCTTTTCGAAACAAACAAAAAACCGTATTGATTTTATTTTTGCCGATTGTTCGGACAGCAGCAATATTTACGGTTCACGCGACATATCGTGTCGTTGTGTTTTGAGATATTATATTATCATTATCTACTATAATAATTGTTTTGCGTTTTTTTGACAGACACAAATTATGATCTTTGAACCACGCCACCGACATATAGTAATGGTCAAACAAGTGAGTGTGCCGTACAATTTCAATGGTGTCAAACCTCGAAGGCTTTATTTTTCTAGTGTTAATGTTGTTGAAACAATATAAAAGTGCTCGCAAAATATTCGCATCCACACTGATTATGGGAGTAGTAAGAGCGGGGAGTGGTAAACGGTATTTAACACAACATAATAATATGAAGGTATCGTCGCGGCGCCGTCAAGTCGGGTGGACTTTTCAACAAAAACGAGTCCGTCGAAATTCTCATGCGCACAGTACGTACGTATAAATACATACTGCAAACAGGTCATAGGTTTTTGGCCGCCTATCCTGTAGGGGTTAATCAATTTCTGCTGCACCAATTCAGAAATTAGTTTTTTGGGGGGAAAGGAAGTTGATTCGAAATTTGGCATCCCTAAATTGATGCCACCCTAGGCGGCTACCTATTCTGTTACCACATTGGGCCGACACAGATACGTGGCATTATAATAATTTATAGCTGAATACTTTTTAATAATTTATTCCCGAGTTTCATTATTATTACCTGCTTTTCGGCCACTTGCCGAGTGGAAAACCGTTTGATGAATGAATCCTCTCTCTGCAGCGTCGGTTTCGATGTCTTTATTGTCGAAGATATAGCACTGGACAACTGCACTGTGGTTCTGAGTTTCATCCATCTCTGATTGCTCCTGCTTCTGCGAAAAATTCGAAATGCAGAGTTAGCTCACGCATAAACTATTTTTGAAATTAAAATAACTTCCAGCCGGGCTATACGCAGTCACGTAGTCGTGTGCAGTTGAATACATACATGGATTTATAAATTGCACATTAAAATTAGTACCTAAATATAGAGATCACGTAAATATCTTCCACGGCGTGTGTATATATATATATACTATACATTTTAATCATGATCCTTTATTTACACACCCATAGAATTTTACAACAACAAAATATTTTTTAGCTAGCTTATTATTGAATCGAAATCACTATTATTGGATGTTTGGTTAATACAATTCGATTTATTGGACTGTTTAGTGCATAATTAGTATTCCATTTATGTGCCGAGAATAGAGGATTAGTAGTGGCATTAAACGATAGGACTTTGAAGTCCCCCAGCAGTGCATAGTGGTGTAGTTTATAGGACATTCTGTTTTACCCACTATTCGTTTTTGCATAGATTCCGTTTCACTTTCATTGGACTTTCATATATTTTAGACATTTGTACTAGAAAATACGCACCACGACCATTCCTAACGGTTTTTGGGTCATGACTTTCTGAAATGCCATCATTCTTAAAAAATATTATATTTACATATTTTCAAACTTATTTTTAGGGTTTGCTGTAGACTAGAATTCCATATACGCATATTATATACTATACAAACGCGTATTCAAGAATCGATCTAACGAGTGCGTTATATAAGTCTTCAAGACAAATGAGATTACTGAGTACGCAATAATCGTGTTTCAAAAAGTCCACAGTCTTAAGTACCTTAAGCATAGATCGTGTTGATGTTTGTACTAAACGTTATGACGAAGGACATATTATATTAGTGCACAAAAATATTAAAACGCTGCCGTTTATAAAATCAAAACTGGTATGTGTACACACTTTCGGAATATTTATGAACGATCCATTAACCACATCACACACCATTCAAACCGCACAGACTGAAGTATGATAATTATTAATTACATTCCCGGGGGACTGAATACTCGTGCACTTTATCGGATCATCAGCAAACCTTAAATGGTTGCATTATTTAAATGTTTTACCTAGGTCGTTAATGAATAGCAGGAACAACAAAGACAGTGAAGTCAAGTGCCAATGCAACTAATATAAATAAAGGCTTTTCAATTTTGTCCACGAGAGAACGATTATTAGATATATATGACAGTTTCCTCACTTAAGCACCTCAAACTATAAAGATTAGTGATAAATAGATGATTCTAGGGGGCCATCCTATATAGTTTGTGAATTTTCTCTCGTGAACTCAAACACAGCTGCTTTGTCATCCATCACTCGGTCTAAATCGCAACGTGACTCGATGATAATAAAAAAAACCTCGAACTGCATATATTAAATATTTTGTTTCAAGACCTTTATGCATGAAGTTTCCTGTTTTCTCGTGTATAATTAATATTTTGTCTGAAAAAGTTTTAAGCGAAGGACCTAATAATCTCTAAATCATAATATTCACTCTAAATTGCGAATATTTAGTATTATTCTTGCTACTATTATTATTATTATTGCTGTCATCATCTACAATAATAGATAAGCACTATACTTGTATTAATACTTGCATTATGAATATTATGAAACACGGTATAGATACTAAACAAACTAACAAATTTGTGGTATTTCATCGTCTAAAGTTACGATGGTAACTAAAGTAACCTAAGAATAAACGAAGAGCGTCTATGTAAGTGGCTAAATAGGTGCAATATTTGCATATACAAATCATCATGAAAGACGAAAAATATAATATAAAGATGGTGTTAAAATATCTCTACATACAATAAAATATATATATTGGTCATGGTAATGTGGCTCGAGGGAAATAAAACAATGGTCTACAGTACGGTGTATATAATAATATATATTGTCCTCTTTGCATACAAATACGTATTCGTTAAAAAAACGTATCTAAAATATCTTTCGATCAGTTTTTTTTTTAAATTGCGTTCATTATATTTTGTCGGTTCAGTATATATTGATAAAAATACGTAATAAAACACCAAAGGAGAATATTATAATCTCTTGAAAAAAAAATATGTTGCTAGTGCGTATACTCTCAAGTACTGACTACACTGGACGCCCACTTCAATCCAGATGGCTATGCTTAAAATCACATGTTCGGCAAATTCACTTATTGCATAAAATATTGAAATATCTTACGATGAAAATCGTCAATATTTTTAAAATAAATCAAGAAGGTACTAATTCAAGTTTGTTCGTTGAAAAGCTTGGAACTATTATACATGTTTTTTTTTTAAAAAAAAACTAATTATTATTGTATGCGTGCCGGGACTACGAAAAAATGTTTTCTATTCCTTGGTGGTAGGTTTATATAGGGTTTGTGTACGCTGTCGAAGTAATACAAAAAATAATAGATACCTTAAAAAATAAACATTTTTTTCCATTTGCTTACGTCAATAAAAATAAAAGGATTGTCAAATGTGACTTATGTAATAGTTTTTTTTTTCTTTTACCAGCGGATGTAAGAAACCCTAAAACAGCGATTCTCGCGATTTAGTTATGTAGAATGTTTATAACGCATTCATATTATTGTTAGTAAGTATCGATTTTTGGAACAAAAATTTCGCACAAACTCCATTAAAAGTTTTGTATTTCAAGTACATGTTAACAAAACTGTGATGATATTACAAATTGTCACCAGAAACGCATTGAATCGTTTAACAGTCGAATCGCACCAAATAAGATATTGTTGATAAGTTTACTTAAGAAAATTGCACACATTTTATAATCTCTCGAACAGTGACGTCGTATGCTTATACCTAAGTACTAAAATTGATTTTTAAGTTAAACCTAGTTCATTTTGTTTTAATTTTCGTATTATTAAAAATTATACATAAACTACCGTTGCAAACGTTCTAGTTCTAGTACATATGTATATATGTATGTATGTATGACGTATGTATGTATGTATGTATGTATGTATGTATGTATGTATGTATGTATGTATGTATGTATGTATGTATGTATGTATGTATGTATGTATGTATGTATGTATGTATGTATGTATGTATGTATGTATGTATGTATGTATGTATGTATGTATGTATGTATGATGTAAGTATGTTTGTATGGTGATCATAAAAATTACAAATAAACGTTTTAAAAATAACGAAACATAAATTAAGTGTTTTATGGAAAATGTTTAACCTATATTTTTAAAATTCTATTCTCGATTGAATTAAACTAATTTGTAATGAACAAAACGTTTATTTATTCCTTCAACATACAAACGCATTGACTGTTATTTTTCTTTTGTTAATAATATGTAACACAGCCTATACCATACTATTAATAACTATCGACATTTATTTAAAATAAGTGATTCATTTAACCGTTATTGCATTATATACGCACTATGCCAGTCCATTAGTATAATATTCCGGTATTCATATTTTTTCTTTTATATTAATTTCGTATTGAATAATATACATTTTTTTAATCAGAATCTTTTCATGAAACACTAAACCTGTATATCAGTTCAATAGCTGTAGAACACGTATCAAAAAATTATATTTAACTATTTTAACATAAAAAAATACTGGCTCTTTAAGTAGAACCAAAATTCCTAAATTACAAATTTAAAAAAAACATCCAACAATCATTCATTTACAATGAACTTAAATTATATCTTTAATTATAAAATAATTATTTAATTTCTTTTATAAAATATATTAGTTTATAATGAAACTATATGATTATTGTTGTAAAACAACTGTTCTAGTAATTTCGTAAATGACTGGTTTATAAAAATTAATTTTAAAATCAACTGCAGTAAATTAAAATACTTATAATTTTTTGTATGTATTATTTACATTGAGTCATTTTCTCAATTTTCAAGTCAATTTTTGATTTTTTTCAAATACATATTATTTCCTACATGTTTTTACAATACAATGCACAATACATAAATATGAACAAATTAGTCGTTTTAAATTATTTCCAGATAAGTCGAATGAAATTCTGAAGATGAGAGTATAAAATATTGTATTAGGCATAGCACTTAATACTATTTAACCGAAACACGTGTGCAATATTGCTTTTACTCAATAGGATTGTAAATACATTTAATCGAATTCCGTAGAAGAGAACTCGATCCCAGAACATTTCTATGTTTCAAAAAATAATGGTTTCTCTCAAACAATTAATTTACCTAAAATGTCTACTACAATTGACCTATGGTGCGCAGATTTACGAGGAATACCGCCTGCTCTTGTATTATAATATATCAGCAATACTAAGCAGATTCGGTAACCGTGTACTCTAGTGCTATTTATAACAGATAACTTTAAATTGTTTTACAAGCTATTTGAATACAACGTATACGTATATAGGTTATAAATAATGTTTTACTTAATGTGTCTGAGATATCAAGCTTTTAATGCTATATATTTTGATTTTAAATTGTACGCAACAGTAAATAATATTCCACGACGCGTTTATAGAAATGATCTATTAAAAAGTTTTACAGTTTTCAATACATTTTTGTGAACGTTTATTATGATTATCATCATCATCGTTCGAATATCGATGAAACTTACTATATGGAATTAAGTTGATCCTTCCATGTACAATATCATTTCGTAAAAAAACTACGTTATAAAAATTCTTTTTGAAGTAGTACAAAATATATACATCATAGTTTACGATCGACATACTACACAACAAATATTGAAAAATTGGCAGTGTGCCATGTTACAGTTTTGTATGAACTAAAATCAATAATTTATATGATAACCTTCAGTATATTCTTCTTCTTTTCCTTATGGATGGAAGAGTTAAATCAAATGTATCAAATGTAGCGAAATTTTAACAAAAAACGTATAACACTCGATAGTAATAATAATTCAATGAACAATATTAAAAACCATCAATAAATAGTTAAATTAATAAAACTGAGATGAAAATAAAATGTATAATACGGTACTTACGGAT